CCCTTTATATCAATTTTCACATCATGACAAGGATAAAGTATCAATCTTATTTCAATATACCATAATTGAGATAAACATTGAATTCAAGTCAAAGAAATTTTAATCATGATTCGCATCATATACAATACATCATATCATCATAATAAAATCATAGGTATTGTATGTATTATTCCAAATCATAAATATTTCATATCAGTATCGATTTGTCAAATTACACTACATCCTACCATATATGATCATAACTTCTCATTTGTATGCATCAACATAATATCATGAATATTACATAATTTTATATCATCACATGAAGGATATCAAGAAAAACTTGGTGATGAGATATACTTCATGAATACAAGAAATTTTACAAAATAAAACTCAAGTCATAAATCTTAAAAGGTCAAGTGACATATCACGGTTGATTTGGATAAGTAAAATAGCGAAAAGAAAGAATCATAGTAAACAATCTTGATTTATAAAAAGAATTCTCAAGTTATAATTTGGGAAATTAAGAGAAACTATGATTCACTTTGACAAATCTCCTCTTAAATAATTAAAAAAAAATCTTAGGAGATCAAATAGTATGAAAAATCTTAAGTCATGAATTCCAAAATTGATATTCTCTTTAGTAAATCACAAAAGAATGGTAAAAGAACAAATAAATAATTTTGATTCATACATAAGAATTTTCATTATTCATATAGAAAATCTCCTCTTAAGAAAATACCAAGAAGAATCGTAGGAGTATAAAGAAGAGATCTCGATTCAAGTAGATAAGTATTCTCTTAAAAAAATTGCAAGAGTCATAAAAGAATAAAGAGTAAGGGATCTTGATTCATAAAAATAAATCTCAAGTAATTCCAAGAATTCAAGATTATGATATAGATAAAACTCATTCAAATTCAAATCGTAAAAACATCAAAATCATCAAAATCACTTTTTTAGATTTGAAAAATTCATTGAACATAATATTGAATGATTCTTAAAGATATCTAAACTTCTTTAGTTTCAATTTGTGTGATTGACTTTATATTAGCATGCCCAAATTTTTATTCTTATGTCAAAACTATGCATCATGTTTAAAATAAAAAAACCAAAGGCAAGATTCATCACAAAAATCATCAAGCCTTCCATACAAAAGTCATGCATCGTCATCGAAAAGCAGCATGGAAATCATCAAGATACTCATTATTACTTCTTTAAAACATACATAGAATTAATTTTTTTTTAGATGTACAAGCATTAGATTTATATCTAATATTTTATTGCACTATCATAAAACATGTAATTATCATGATCTTTTTCAAAATTACTCGATAGGCATGATCCTATTTTTTTATTTTTTAACAATTTACATATAATTTTTCTAATTTAAAATTGACTCATGATAAATGTATCAAGTAATTTCAAAATAAAATAAAGGAGTTTCGTTTGAGTTGTTTACCTCATTATGAGTCACCAAAGTGAAGTTCACCACTTTGTCTTCATTGGTTTGCTCCTCGTCTTCGGATGCACTCGTTTCGTCAAGTCACCTTGAGTGCTTTCTTGTTCTTTGGCAACTTTTTTTTTAAGTTCACTTTTATTCTTAGTTTCATGTTTTATAAATTTTATAAATTTACTTGTGATGAGTTCTATGTCATCATCACTCTTTCGCTCGAGTGGTCTTCTTGAATTCTAAGTATCAAATCCTTCCTTTTCTTTAGAAGGTTGTTCTCAAGTTCATTCAGTTCATCATGTGCCTTGCACACCATTTCATATGTCATCAATAACTCGATAAGTTCTTCAAGACCAAAGTTGTTTAGATCTTTAGCTTCTTGTATTGTCGTTATTTTCGGATCCTAACTTTTTGGAAGGGGTCTTAATATCTTGTTAATAAGCTCAAAATTCGAAAAACATTATGATTATTCGAGTCCTTTTGAAGGTCATCAAAGACCCGATAAGTTCTTCAAGTGAAAAGTTATTCAAGTCCTTGGCTTCTTGAATTGCGATTACTTTAGGATCTCAACTCTTTGGAAATGATTTTAATATCTTGTTAATAAGTTCAAAGTTAGAAAAACATTTATCAAGTGCTTTCAGACCATTGAGGACATCCGTAAATCGGGTGTGCATGTCTTCAATGGTCTCAATTGGTTTCATGCAAAACAATTCATAACTAAGAACTAAAAAATTGATTTTTGATTCCTTAACTCTAATCGTGTGATTTCAAAGTGTATGCCATATGTCATAAGTCATTTCACAAATAGAAACTCGATTAAATTCAATTTTATCTAAAGCACAAAATAAAGCATTCATAGTTTTGACGTTCAAAAAGAAAATATTTTCTCTAAAATCATTCCAATCGTTCATTGAAAGAGAAAACTTTTAAAATTCGTTTTCAATGATATTTAATAACTCAAAATCCATAAAAATTAAGAAAATCCTCATTCTAGTTTTCGAATAAGTATAATCCGTTCCATTGAACATGGAGGACGTATGATAGAATGATCCTCATGATTGTCGGTAAAAACCATCTCTCTTGGGTTTTAAATCAAATCGAGAGTAACCTTACTCTAAAACCAATTGTTATGATCAATCCAACACTTAGGGGGGGGGGGAGGGGGTTGAATTAGTGCAACGATAAAAATTACATTGATTTGAAAATTTTCGTTCGATAAAATATTTCGACAAAACCCGTTTCGAAAAGTAATGAAAGTAATAACTTAAAGTAAATGCAAAGTGTAGAGTGCAGCTAAGCAATGAAAGAAAATAGTAAGGAAAGAACACATTAGATTTATAGTGGTTCGATCATTGTGACCTATATCCACTTCTCCGTCGAGATCATCGATATCCGCTATTGATCTTCCTTCAATAGACAAAGACTAACCACATTCTCCTTTTCACGAGTTTATGAGACAACCCTTACAAGCCTCACACATCTTCTTTAATGATTAAAGAACTAAAAAAAAAAAGAATGACCATTAACACTTTTACAACACTTTTATATCCCAACACTTAAAGATTTTTCACACTTTTCTGCTCTTTTTATTGCCCTTTCATATAGAAAGAAATGAGATATTTCTAGACCCCAAAGGTTTCTAAATTGGAATCAAAAAATGTTTCATCTCGGATTTTCATGATATTGACGATACAATTACTAATATTTGGTGGTATCACCCAACTGCTCAATCTGACGATACTAATTCGATTCTGAAGTGCTTGTTGTTCCTGCAAATCATGCGAAGAAAATAGTAACTCCAAAGAAAAAGTTACTGTTATGACAAAGAAATGTGCCTTAAAAGGCTACGATGTATGCTTCTGAAATGTAAAGTAAGACAGTTTCATGCTAGCAATAGAGTAAGCAATAGAATAAAAGAGGAAATAGATCAAAGGAAATATCAGGAAAACACTTACATAAATAAATGCTGTATGTCTTCGTCCCAACAGGGAATATGCATAATACTGAAGCTTGACCATCATAAATATCCACCCCTATAAAGTTAGAATACCTGTTTACAGATGGACATGGAATTTAAATGACATTCCACGCTGAATCAAGCAATCAGGTGCTGAACATTTTCAGTCCAGAACAGAAAATATTGCAATTCCTAATCAAACCATTCAATTGATGAGCAGCTTCAATATCCACCACTGGTCGATGAAGGCCAAAAACTTAATGACTGATCCTCATCTTTTAAGGAAATCAATGAAAAAAAGAACAGATAGGTACAATAATTTACAATAAGAGAACTATTATATCAACATCAAGTGAGCAATTTGCCATAGGACAAAGCAAAACATCAAGAACCAATAACCTTGTGTTCCGAGTTGTATAAATTAGTAAGCACTCACTTCTACTGCACGATAAGGAAGAAAGATCGAAGTCAAACAATGGATAGAGAAAAAAACCCACCTGTCATTCAAATGATGGGATGCCAACTGTGTCATTGTTGGTATCACACACATGATAATGGTCAATCACTTTGTCGGGAAAATGTACATGGTCCAACAGCAAAAGAGGGCTAACCTTGTAGATTTGGACTAAAGCGTCATATTTATTACTATTGGTATCGCAAGTGAAGTTATCATTGGTTACCAAAAACAAGTTATTTGCAGCTAACAAGTCCAACATGCAGACTGCATCAATGTATAAAAAGTATACTAAAGCTTAATGAAATTTGATAGTATGTTATCAAACAAATTGTTACCCAAGTAACAAAACAAAGCTCGATTCTCAACCTACAAAAGAAATCATTTTATACAATAATGCTGAGAAAAAAGACCCACAACAATACTGGATTGCTGGAATTCAAATATCATAAATATGTTCTTCTTGCTTGAGTATCAATATCAGCTACTTGTAATCTGCTTAGTATGATGAATCATGGGTTGCACATTTCATGCATGACAACCATGTCAGACAGTACATATTATTCAAACATTATGCCAACAGTCGATGGGTACCATTCTTGCCATGAGACAAACCACGAAGGCATTGTTACACACCTTTTCTGGATACTGTGTTAATGAAGTCCGCCTTTTGTAAAACTACTATGGTTAAATCTATGAATCCTCAACTACCTTAACCATACCCAACCTCTGTCTAGAGAAATCAAATGTCACCTAAGTTGAAGATCATATTTCAATCACCATAATCTCAACTAATACATCCATTCTTAATTTAGAGAAGAATGAGTAAAGAGTAACAAACTTACTTTCCACCCATTCAAGCAATTACAAGAAGAAAGCCAATATCCTAAAATTGCTATAAGCAGGGTCAACAGCATGTGCCACCTATAAGACACAGATGCAAACTTGCAATAACCTATTATCTAGATGATTGTAAAACAAAATACATGGGAACTTTAAAAAATAATGTAGGTGGACAGTATCAAACATAAGTTTTACCAACATAAACCAAACAATATTCTAAAGATGAGGTTCTAATGTAACTAAATGATCAGCATATCTTGTCAAAATACAATTGCATAGCTCTCTACTCTTTTAGGGCAACCAGAAGCAAATCAACATAATGCTGAAACAAAATCCAACATGCATATGAAAAGGAAGCACAAAACAGAATCAAATAGCAAGTACAATACCATGAGAAAAAAAAATGGCAAACAACATTCAATCAGAGCCCACACCATTGGATACACCTAACATCACCAGCATTTCTTCTTTGCAGGCAGATCTCTGCAGATGCACCTTTTATTAACAACAAAGTTCTACCTAGAATGTGCAATAACACAACATCATCCAGAGAATATTTCTTTTATCAGCTTACTGATGCCAACAGATAAACCAGATCACCTCAGTTAAGAATCCCTGCACCAATCTTGCTCTGCCTCGCAATCTTGGACCACTCTGTGTGGAATGATCCGGGGCGGTCGACTCGCTCATAGGTGTGTGCCCCAAAGTAGTCCCTTTGAGCCTGCACCAGGTTCGCCGGCAGCCTTGCTCGGCGATAGGTGTCAAAGTACGCAAGGCTGGCACACATACCTGGCGTGCTGATTCCAGCTTCAATAGCAAGTCCCACAACCCTCCGCCATGCCGCCTGCCTCTGCACCATCTCCCTTGCAAACTCTGGGTCCACAATCAGGTTTGCAAGCCCTAGGTTACGCTCATAAGCCTTCTTGATCCTGTCCAAGAACCTTGCCCTTATGATGCACCCTCCCTTCCAAATCCTTGCGAGCTCCCCAAGATTCAGGTTCCATCCCTTCTCTGCACTCTTAGCTCCGAGCAAGTTCATCCCTTGGGCATAACTACAGATCTTAGAGGCATAGAGTGCCTGCCGGACATCATCAATCAGGCGTCTCTTGTCGATAGATCGGCCTACAGAAAAATCGCCTCTGCCGATGCCTGCTTGTTCGAGAGCCTTGGAGGCAGCCTCTCTCTCCTCCTTAAGCCCGCTAAGGTATCGACAGTCCAGCGAGGCAGCGATGGTTGGCGCAGCAACCGAGAGCTCAGCTGCCTGCTGTACCGTCCACTTACCCGTCCCCTTCATCCCGGTCTTGTCTAGAATCTTGTCGACGAGCTCTCCACCACCATGCTCGTCGTGGACTCCAAAGATGTCAGCAGTGATCTCGATGAGGAAGCTCTCGAGCTCGCCGCGGTTCCATTCGCCAAACGTTTGGGCGAGCTCGGAATTCGACAGCCCACCGACAACCCTGAGCACATCATATGCCTCGGCGATCAGCTGCATGTCACCGTACTCGATGCCGTTGTGGACCATCTTGACGAAGTTGCCAGCGCCGCCCTCGCCAACGAAGGTGACGCAGGGGCCATCATCGACCTGGGCAGCGACGCGGGTGAGGATGTCCTCCACATTGCGGTAGGCTTGGAGGGAGCCGCCGGGCATGAGGGAAGGCCCATGGCGGGCGCCATCCTCGCCGCCAGAGACGCCCATGCCCAGGTAGAGGATGCCCCGGGCGGCGGCCTCGCGGATGCGGCGCTCGGTGTTCTCGTACCACTCGTTACCACCGTCGATGATGGCGTCGCCGGGTTCCATGAAGTGGGAGAGAGCGGCGATGGTCTGGTCCACGGGGGCGCCGGCCTTGACGAGGATGACGACGGCGCGGGGGCGGCGGAGGGAAAGGACGAAGTCCTGCGGGGAGCGGTGTCCGGAGAGGGGGAGGCCGCCCTCAGTGGCAGCGCGGGAGACGGTCTCGTCAACCTTTGAGGCTGTGCGGTTGTAGACGGAGATGGGGAAGCCCTTCTCGGCGACGTTGAGGGCCAGATTCTGGCCCATCACCGCCAGCCCCGCCAGCCCGATCCGCGATAGCGCCGCTGTATCCATCGGCCTATCCTCCTCGTCCTCCTCCTCGACCTCGTAGGGTTTCCACTCCCTCCCACTTCATAATCCATTTATCTTTGGGCTTCTTACAATGAGGTACCTAATTTAAAGTTTATTCGTGTTTTAACCCAACAACAAAATCTCAGCATTCTTTATTTTGCACATATACCCTTTAATTGTTTTATTTGATAGATTCTTGTATTTAAAACAATGCATTTGAAGACGTTGAGAAGAACAAAGAAATTAAAGAAAATCCTACAAATTTAGCATTCTTTAAACATATTTTGTCAATAAGCCCTTAAAATGTTAAATTAGAATGCATTGGTTGTGACTTTGCTTCAGCAGTAAGGATGCAATTTCATATCTTTTACTATGTCAAATACGTAACTTTCTGGTTCGGCATAAGGGGTTTTTATGAAAATATGAAAAGGTTGAGGTTTTTTGCAAAAGAATGTTGCGATTGGATCTCTTGCGGGAGATGTAGAAAACAAGGGCTGATCTGCCAAATTGTTTCTTTCGATGGGTCAACTTGAAAACGGGAGTTAAAGCGACTCTTTTTAATTATGTAAGGATCCTATGAAATGGCCGAACGATCACACAGGATCCAACGGCTTATGCTTATAGTCGTTGTTGGACCCCACACGGTCAGATGGCGTGGTCGTTAATTGACGACCATTGCTGTGGGAACCAAACATTACATGTTAGAAGGACCATTGGAGAGGATCCTTACCCCGACCTATGGAGGCTTCCAAAGGACAAGCTCAAGAGGGGTGGGAGGCTGAGGGGTACGCTGAGGAGGCAATCTTGTTCTAATTGGACTCTAAACTTGAGCCATTGGCCAATAACAAATAACATATAGAAGATATTTCATAATTATTGAAATAAAATCATGTAAAAAAAATAAAGAAAGTATTAGTCCCAAATAATACTTAAAAGTGCTATTATATATTTTATCATCATGAGAAAATAATTATAATATTTTTTATTTTTATTTTATTTTTTTATTTTTATTTTTATTTATTTATTTATTTATTATTATTATTATTATTATTATTATTATTATTATTGTAACCATCAAGTTGAGATCATTGGTGAACATGGGAATGAATGTAGCTAACAACATTATTCATCCACTTCCAACTATCACACCACTGATCACACATGAAACAATGCTAGCAGAGTTTGACATGTATTGTCGATGTCTAAGGAGATAACAAAATTATTTATCATACCATATAAAATTATATATTTTTTCTAATTTAAATATATATGTTTTCATATGCATACTCTCACATAAATATAGAATTTTTTATCTTTTATATTATTTTATCTAAATTCAGTAGAAGAAAAACTCTAAGAGGTCTGCAAGTATTTTTCCACATCATCTCTCCATTAAAATATAAAGAAACATGTGATATTTATATGATACCTAAATCATAATTTCTAGAATTTCTTTCATATGCAAGAAAATTCTTTTTTAATTTTCTAAGAATCTAAAATTATCTATTAATTTTGATATGAAAATAATGATATAGCTAATACATTCACTTTAATATCATATAATCGATATCTCGATTCCATATTCATAATATTTTCGCAAATGTTATCGATGGTTTGTCATATCTTATTTAAATTTGATGCAGTACAATTGTATCTAAGTTGGAAAAATATATAAAATTATTCCAAGATGTCTACGAGTATAAAAATAATCTGAATATCAGCACTTCCAGATAAATAAAGAGTTTTATCATGCATGTTTTCAATAAAGTTTTGCATGATTAAATATCTTGTAGGTTCGATCATTGACAATAGACAAACATAAAATAAAGTATTGATTGGTTTAGAGTCAATGTCCAACTGAGCCAATTAGATTTAACTTAACAAACCCCAATCTTGATCGCATATGTCAACTGAGGTAGAAGAGACTCTAGCCGCATTAGTAGAATTAGCCACATCTTAGCTTTCGGTGGGTGTCGAACATTATTCCCTTATCATATTATTTGGATACGGAGGATTCCATGATCATATAATAAATAATGAAATACTAAACTGTCATGGGATAATTTGTATTTTATTTTATAAAATTTATTTCAAATACTCGAAGGAATGTATACTTCTCCAACGAACGGAACGGTTGTTGTTATTCGATTTCTTTTGGTAGGATCCGCAAAACAAAATCCGATAAGAGAACACAAAGTTCAACAGTTCATCCGAATCCGATATAATATTGGATTTGTATGGGACACCATTATATAAGATGTGCACTTATTTAACAGGTCGAACGAAAGGACTTTACCAACGTTATCGGGTCGGATTTGGGTCCGCTAAGCGGGTTATCAGGCTCCGCTGCTGCTACTTAAAATAACAACTTCACCTTCTCTCGTACGTTATACTCTCTCTCTCTCTCTCTCTCTCCATCGCATCGTCCTCGCCTTCGCTTTACCCCTTTCGTTCGCCTATTCTGAAACCCTAGAATTGCCAGGTGGGCGAGCACCGAAATCCCATATTCGTGATCCTTTTCCCGTTCTTTGATCACGATCTCGATCCTTTTGTGTCCGGTGCGAAGCGAAGAAGCGGCCCCCATGAACTGCGAAACTTGCCAACTCAAAGAACTGGTGATACCCTCTTTCTTTACCCTAATTCGAATCCAATATGATCTCCCTTATCTCGTAGTCTCATAATCGAGTAGTTCGGATCAGTCTGCATATACTGATCATGGTTCCTTGAATCTTCTTCGTGTGATTTGACCTCCCTTGTGATTTCCATTGAACTTCTTGTCTACGGGTGCTTAGGGCTATTTCTTCAAGTAAACTTATGTTTTATTAATGAAATTAGATTTCTTTTTAACTTTTTTTTTCGATCATTAATATTAGGTGGTGGAGCCGCCAGAGATTAGAGAGGTGCTGCGCTGTAAGTTCAACTCCTGCTCATGTTAATTGGTGGAATGTGCTTAACTATCGTGTTCTATGCAGCATTCCTTTCTGATTACATCTCCCTGTTTTCTTTCTTGTAACTAGTGTCTTGCTGAGTCCAGGAAATTAACGTATTGCCGCATTGGTTGCCCGTGCTGATGCCTTATTTTCCCATGCTCGCATATGCAGAGGTGGGACACGTGCATCCTGTTGCACGTTACGAGTCACACATGCCACATCTCGTGCAATTCTGGCTCTTATTGGCATGCTTCTGTGCCATGTACAAGGCATTCATAATTTTCCATATGAATGATAAATTGGTTTAACTTCACAACTTCCTTTCTTCTTGGTTAGGAGTATATGCAAACATTTAACCAAGCAGGTTTCTTTTGCAAATAACTTTTTGGTTCTTCTCTTCTGTTTTCTGGCGAAGAAGCAATAACGCCAGTTGTCCAGTACGAGTTTCTACTAGTGTTACACTTTCCTTGAAACATTGAAAACATTCCATAGGATCAGGCTACTGCACTTGCTTGCTTAAGAAGGAATGATAATGTGTTCTATTAACCCTTCCACAGATTTGTTTTCTTGACATTGGGATCATCTGGTTATGATCCTCCTAATTTTCTGGTGTTCACTTTGGTTTATAAAACAAAAGGCAGTATTGTTGGAGATTTAGCCGCCTATAATACTTCAAAAGTGTCAACCTGGGTCAAACTGAACATGGAATCACCACACATGATGCAACCAAAAATGCTACTAGTGTTTCTTTTTTGTGTGTGTGCGTATGTTTGGTGAAGGGACGGGGGGATAACCACATTTGTCAATGTCATTAGATCTAATGGTTAATACTAATCATTAGATCTAATAATGATATCATATGAAATTGGAGAATAGTGGATATACAAAATATTGTATTGTAGTTTATCTAATCCTTCTGTTATCCATAAAATTTAAGGTATTTAAGTAATCTTTAGTTAATAAGATTCAAATTGTTATTGGCAGATTATAATGCTGATACATTTGAGTTCCTGTTACCATATAAACTGCATCACGTGCTTACCTGGTATGCATTCATAATAAATATAATTACTAGTCATATTGATGTTGATGTCAGAATTCCAAGAAGTGTGCAATTTTTTGATGAAATTATTTTGACTAATGAAGGCATAACTAGGATAAAGTCTTAATTAGATTTATGTAAGCAAACTATAGGTTTGAGAATGAGCAGAATTTAGATTTAATTCTCGGAGTATAATATAACTATATAAGCAAAAGAAAAGTAGATGTATAATTGAATTATGTGGTCCATAAATTTAAAAGCTCTTTAAGGGATATATTCTCTTTGAATATATAATCTTTTGTTGAGAAGGAATTGAGCTCAAATAAGTATCAGAATAGGAGTTGGATGGTTAGAGTGGCGAGTTGTGTGAGTATTAAATGATTGCCAAATACATCTCAAATTGAATAAGACCTTTTATATAAACTTACTAGTCCAATAATTGATCAGGAGGTTGATGCTAAGCAACTGGTTAACGTCATATTTAAATGGCTAGTGACTTAGTGCGGCAGATATTAAGACAGGTGCCTACTGTTATTGGAAATGATCAAGGAACATATCATTGCATTTTGGAAAATTTTGGGCTAGTATCAAATAAGAAGAAATTGGATGAAAATATTTGAAGTTTGTTTAGATATTTCAGAAAAGGGCTTACTGTTTCATCTGCAAGATGATGTATACGAATTTAGATTAGAGTTGTCAGGATATTGTTGCCCCTTGAGTGACATCTTTGCACACAACCCCCACCTCCTTCCCCTTCCCATCTACTTCCTTTCTGTCAATAGAGAAATGGGTTTACATTGTGATTCTACCTAAATGTGTTTGGCTTCTTAAAATCTGGATAAGCATTTGACATCCAGAGAATCTCTTCTCCTGTAGTTGAGAATGTTAAAGTTGCTCTCTAGGTTTCTTAAAAAAAAATAGCTTTTAGTTTTCTGAATTTTCTAAGGAAAATAGAGGCAAAAGTTTTCCCACCTTTGCATTTTTTAAGCGGCTTTTCCAAGATGAAAATCAACATTTTGCTATCATTTCACCCCATATAGAAGAAAATAGGAAAGATAAAACGTTTTTCTATGTATATTTTTATTTTAAGAATTTGGTTATGGAAAAAATTTCCCCATTTTCCTTGCAACCATGGTGGTGTATAAATTTTCGGCCTCTAATTATGCTTATGCACTTCTTTTTTTGTGTTTTGAAATACTACTGATACACGAGATTGCAAACACTGCTGCTTAGTAAGCTAGAGCATGTGGTCATAATATCTGTTTGGCATATGTTGATTATCTATTCTTGCAGATCTTTGCATATATTTATTAGTTCTTTTTGCAGGCATATTGCACACCATTCTCTTCCATAGAGCATTAGGACTTGTTCGGCCCAAGGATGTTGAATGTGAACTGTTCGATATCACCTATGTAAGTTTTTTCAGAAGCCAATAAAGCTCTGGAGTCTAGCAATTAGAGTCACTATACTGGAAGATCTTTGCTAATTGTCGAAGGACGATATATAGGTCTCCTCATTTATGGATATAATATTTTTGTTAGTAAATTTCAAATATCTTCTGAAATACAGTGGGCATCTGATGTGAAATATGTTAGCATCTACTGGATTCCTACTTACTATTGTTAATTTTTCATATTTTGAAAACTTTTGGCAAATCGTTATGTATGTCATGCAGTTATTCATTAAGAACAAGGAGATCATCATTTCTGTGTTCCTAAATCTATATTGGATGATTCTGCCACAAGATGTGGTTATGGAGATGGGCTATTATAGGTTGATAAAATGAGATTGAAAACAAATTGTGATAGATTTTGATGGTACAAGTTATACATTTCTTGGTCCTGTCTTGTTTTTGCTTGTCTATATCTTGATTGTAAAGAAGCTTAAGGTTCTAAATTATGGTTACTTGAGAGTTGAGACTGCCATTTTCTTCAGATACATTTGTAATTGTGTCTGGGTGGTTATTTTGTATGATGCTTTATGAGTTATTATGTTGAAGGGATTAAAGATTGTAGATGAATCTGGAGACCTGTCTGAAAATTGACATTGGCATGAGATACATTTGATATTACAAATCCATCTTACTTCTCCCTCTCTGTTTTATTCTTCACCAGCTGTCTTTTCTTTAATATGAATATTTTCAGATCTTAGTTAATTACATATTTGAGCATTTTATTTGCCTATTCTAAACTTTCTTCTCCATCTTTTAAGTTTTCCATAAGTGAGAAATTTTGATCATTGATAAATATGATTGTAATCTTCTTGCCATAGCCCATTTTTCTTATATCCCCTTGCATCTATCATTTACCCCAAATAGTATGTAGTGTCAAGCTCTTGGTAACCATGTTCCTCAATGAGATTTCTTGATAATGAAAATGACCAGACAACTATATTGGCATAACTGCATATGATACTTTAGCTTTTATGCCCAGGAGTCCTTTAGTCTAACATAGGTGCTTATCTAAAGCTCGATCAAGACGCCAAATGGACGAGCTTTTGATCCGATGACTACTTAGAATGTAAACATGACATGTATTTTGCAAATGTGTTTTCCTTATCTAATTTGTTGTTGCATATTATATTGAACTCTTCTACAAACTCAGATCCTTATCATGAGATTTGACATTTACTCCTTTCATCCCTTAAAATGAATTAGTTAAATCAGTTTTAAGGTGAAATGCTCGTCCAGAATATCAGTTTGGAGAGTGAGACAAAAGAAAGTAGAAACCAGAATATATGACACATTCTTTTTAGACCCTGAAGTTCTTAGAGATCCCGTATTTTCTTTATCCATAGATGTGATAGTTTTTAACATAATGATTGTACTCAACCACACTTGATTCATGAATCCTTGGATCATGGTTGCCTTTAAGGACTGTTATGTCTCATGCTTGGACTCTGATTGCATCAGATATCTATATAAGTCAGAGAGAATTTATTGTGTTTTAAAATATGCCTTCTTTTGTGAATCTTGACTTTAGTTAGAAAGGTTGATTAGGTTTATGGAATAGCTTACCTGTTTTTGGTGGGAAGGGACCTAACTGATGATAATGTGGGCATTCTAGATATTATTTTTGTAGTCCTAAAAATGAGTAAATTATTTTTCTATAAGAAACTCTTTCTAATTTATTCTATATGTGATGTATCTAGGTCCTTGTTTAAGGTGTTTGTGTCGATAGATATATTATCGTACGAATCTTGTCATGTGTATCTCAACAAGGAAAACATATGAAGTGCTAATCAAAATAAACAACCATTTAGTTCCAACTCTATGGAAAAGTAACAATAGGTAACTAAGAAGTGGTTCTTGTAACAGATTATCCAGCTTGGGGTTGTCAATGAGCCTTGGAACTGTACAGTAAAAAAAAAAGTAAAAGAAAGCTTTTTCATTGTATATCTTGTAGATCATGGATGAGATGTATTTGATTATTAGGATCTATTTGGAGACTCATCTGGTGGATATAAAAAACATGGTTTTGTCAAAAAATAGTAAGCAAAAAACCTGGGAGAGAAAAATGATTTCCCAATCTGGCATAAAGTTGAAAGGACTATGAAGACATGTTTCGACAACATTTAAGTTATGATAAGAAAAAACATTCTAGAGTATGTTGTTAAATGTAAATTATTGTCTTAGAGTTATCCTTGGTGATCTTTTGATGGCAATTCAGTAGCTATTATCACAGTCAGCATATATCAATTTGTTTATAGTTTAACAGCCTATGTTGTCTTAGCCTTCTCTTTATCAAACAATCCATCCAAAGGTTTTGTGTATGCAATATTACATTCTTTTGAATATATTGTTTATGGGGGATGTGTCGTTGCTGATATGTATGAAACTTCCATATAAAGACTGCTGTTAGTTTATGTTTGTGTTTGAGCAGCAAATGACCATCAATTCTGGTTTATTGGAATCAGCATGCATCTCATCTCTGCTAAAGCCTTTCATTTTGCAATTAATGTGTGTTATAGCCTCATTGTCCTGAAGCTCCCTTACAGGTTCAGTGTGAAGATCATGAACTAGAAAAGAAAATTGATGAAAAGATCAACCAGTTCATTGGTTGGGTAGAGAAACACCCAAACAGGAAAAGCCAGGTTTATGCTTTTCTATAGCTGGCTACAATTTGTTCTCTTATATTGTGGTTTACAAATGCAGCAAGGATGCCATATTCATTTTTCATGTTGATTCTTGCGGTGCACAAAATTATGTAAACTATGAACTGTTAGGTTAATCTATTCAGAACTATGTGATCTGGGGGAACATGAATGTTATATATCTGATTAGCTCCATCAACATGTATTACATCAGGAACAACAAAAATTGATTCATTATTCAGTATTATTTTAACTTTTTAACATGTTAGATATTCTTTGTATTTTTCCAATTTTCTAGCTGTTGCTATATTTGCAACACTACCTAGAAAAAATCATTCTTGTTGCTCTGCTAAAAATTGCTACCCATTCTCAATCATATGAATATCAATATACCTGTATGTGTGTATATTTCCACTTAGTTATATGCAATGTGGACGGTAAAGCTTCAAGTCTTGCTTCTTACTAGTGAAGATTTCTTTTAGGAGGTAGATAAATGATCATCCTGGCTTTTGTATTTTTTTCATTTTGGTTAATATTTTGAACTTTTTACTGATACCACTGTGCAGGTATGCATATCTTTCTACGAGGTCAAAAACAAGCATGCAACATGGTTTGGAAACAAAATTGAGCGCTTTTATTGGGAGCAGTGGTATATTAATTTGCATATCATAAGCCCTAAACCTCATGGTAAATCTCATAATACCAAAGCACATGTGGTTACTGGAGGTAGGAAGACTCTTTCGCTAATTTTTCATTTTTATGGCTGCTCATTTTATTGTTAAGTAACCAAACCTGTTATATCTTATGATCTCAGAAAATGCATTTGAAGAAAGCAATTCGAGATGTGCTGCCTTGGAGTCATCATTACGTGAAGTCTTGTTTCAAATTATAAAATTTGTTAACGAGAAGAAAGACCACATTCCTCCTCTGCAGAATTCTGAGATCGTATCATATCCATATGAGATCTCAACCCCAAGGTGACTGTCATACCATGAACGAAAAGAAAGGGATTCTAGATCGTTAGTGACGCCTCCTAATTGTTTATGCATTTCACGTTACATCACTTGACCAAGTACATTATGTGAAATAAATTCTACACACATCTCGATCTCCAGGTGACACCTTTTCTCAACGTGTTCCACAGTTCATCAGACTCTTCCTTTGGTTGGCATGCCGATGTGCTTAAGAGGATGCTGCAGACTGGACATCCTTCCATGCTTAGCTGACTATAAAGCCGTGCTGATTCAAGTTTCGTTCCTCATTTCTGTACGGTCATCTTCTCTAGTTCTCAGATAGTGTTTTCATGTTACATAAACCTTTACGACCAGAAAAAAGCCATAGTAAACTAATGCCAACTACATCTCTGAACTAGGTTTATACTAAGTGATGCTGAAGCTGGAAGGAAAAGGCCTTATCTTTTTTTTTTTCCTGTCAGTTATCCATGTACATAACCCTTGGTCACCACTTTGAAATGGTTGTCATTTTGTACAGTTTCCTAAACTACATTAAGGTAGTAATGCACTGCATCCAACTGCAAGTGCCTCTGCACCTTGGTGCCGATCTCGTTGGCAACTTATGATGTGACTACTATTTGTGACAAGTAACTCTTGGATTTGTTCTGCTTGTTTCTGCTTGATGTTCATCATTCTGCCCAAGTTGCTTGCCGAGTTTCATAGGATTAATGGTTCTTAAACTTGATTGTGTGTAATAATTGTAAGAGTATTTGAGTATGTTTTGGAACACATTTCAAGTGTGCAGAGCGCCCAACGCATATTTCAAATATCTATTGATGTTTGATTTTTTTTTTCAAAATCGAATCTTATCTGAGTGCAGCATTGAAAATGTTCAAACTTTAATGTTACCTTAGGATAGTATTAATATTTTAGAATTTGTAAGATGTTAATGTAATATTTTAAAAATTAAAAATATCCATCCTGTAAGCTTATTGAAAATTATAATGGTCAAAATGACTTAGTGAGAAATTAATGTGATTTATATTTATTATAAGATAGTATTTTATTATTTATTTGTAAAATTAGTTATTTATTTATTTATATGATTATATTTTTATTATATCTTTGGACCATATGAAATTTTTTATAAGATTACATTCATTTATTTATTTTATTTATTTACTTATTAATTTACATAAAAATATGTATTTATTTGAAAATAATATTAAAAATATTAGAAGAATAAATTTATTATAAAATATTTAATAAACTTTTAAAATATAATTTTACCTAATAATATTTATGTCAATATATATTAAAAATACAAATTTTATTTATTATTTATTAAACATTCAAAATATTTCATAACTATACATTCACTCAAACTATTTCATCCAAACACATATTGAAAATATAAATATATTCTCAAACTTTTTTCCCCAACAATATATTAAAAATATAAATATATTTTTTATTTTGTTTAGAAAATTATATTTATGTGGATCAAAATTTGGAGGGCAAACAAGTATATTTAACCTTCCCTGGTGAAACATAACTTAGTTGCTTGCAAGCCGGTCTCCTTGCTTGCAAGCCAGTCTCCTACCGGTTGACAATTTGAGGAATGCTTTTTTTTTTTTTTGGCATGAGCCAGATGTATAAAAAAATACGAATTGATGAGATAAATATTTATAAAAATAAAAATAAAGGTTAAAGTCTATTTTAGTGTATGTGATTTTCGTTATGGACCTCTTAAGTCATTATAATTTACTTATATCTAAAATAACTTCTATATTTTTAAAAATATAGTATATAAATCCCTCTCGTCAAATTTGAGTTAATAGACGTTAAAGTCTAACTCACAATAAACTATTAATATAATAACATGTATAATTTAGGATTAAGATTTATTTTAGCCCATATGATTTTGGCCATTGATCGCTTAAGCCCTCATGGTTTACTTGTGTCTAAAATAACTTTCTGAATTTTCAAAAATATGACATATAAGCCTCTCTCGTTAAGTCTGAGTTAATAGACATTATAGTCTGCTTACGTAACTTGTTGACTCATAATAAACCATTAATATAATGATATGTGTAATTTAAGTTTAAAGAAAAAAATATTGAGACATTCATCAATGACGAAAGGAGGTATCATCGTAGAAGCGACTACTAGCAATAGCACCGAGTTGCTTCTGCCTAGTAGGGCATCGTACATACGTAATCTCTCCCACACTAACGATGAGCTTAAGAGCTTTTGGTCCTATCACAGGTTTACATGCATTGATTAGTCCGATGCTAAGCATGTAGTGGTCTCGTAGTGCTTCTTCCTCCTCTTAGGTATCTTCTACTAGTCATAGGTTTCCTACAAGCCAATCATGTGAGTGATGACATGTGTGACACGACACACACTCTTTTTGCTTATTATTTATTGATATTTTATCGCTTTATCTTGTATATTGCATATATTATGATGTCCATGGATCTATGCAACATGAATAAGATCGTGATGAGATCATGATAATGAGACTGATTCGCCTTTAAACACAGACCCTAAATAATCCCAATCATAGGTTACTAGAGAAGGATATCGAGATAATCGAATAGACTAATATGTTGTATACCCATTTATATAATGGAGGCGGTTGGTTTTATATTTGCTTGTATGGGGACACTAGGGATACAGTGCAGGTGCTCATTGGGGAATGAGTTTACTGATTGATCCGCTTACGGAATGTTGGACGGTTGATGATACCTCATTGTCATACAACGATTCCGTTGTCTCAGTAGTGTATTTGATCCTTAGATTTGAGACACCAAGGATGTATTGTATGAGTACTCTATTCTTTGATGTCGAACTTATAAACCTAAAAGTTCCAAATCTAGCACAACCGGTCATCGAGAGTGGGAGACAACCTTACGAGAGCTATTAAGTATCGATAGAGGTTCATCCTCTCTCGATGTCATGAGAAGAATATCCCAAGCAAATTCCTAGCCATGGTCATTTGAATTGAGAGAAAGAGTTTTCTAAGAGAATCCGATTAGAGCGAGACTCGAGTAGAAACCGTATGAGCTTGATAATACCATCCCGGTATACGATCTCTAAGATATTAGATGGATGAGAGATTATAGGTATATGGTAACTAAGGATAGATGGATCCAATAGATTAGATTTCCTTGTATTGTCTAAGGAATTCGGCGTAGTGGCATAGTATGTTCGCACTTGATGAGTCGAGTGAATTATTATGGAGATACTAATTCACTAAACTAGAATGAGTTTTGATCAGTATACCTCACGACCAGCTCGATATTAGGTCTAGAGGGTCACACATATATAATAAGTGTTGTGACGAGTAGATGTTCAAATATGAGATATCCGTCGGAGCCTCTATCTTATTGGATATCCAATAAGCCCCTGAATTATTGGATCCTATTGATGATATTCAATAAAAGCCAATGAGAGATTATTGAGTAGAAATTCATTAATCTAAGTGGCTTGAGTAGTTGGATGAAAATCCAGTACCCAATAGGGCAGGATCAATTATGATAAGTTTATAAGGACCTCTATAAATAAGACAAAACCAAAGTACCATAGGCTAGACCCTTTTTGGCTGCCACCTCTTATTCTCCTCTTCTCATCTCCTCCTCGTCCATCAGCCCCTATTTGGGGCTAGTGGACAGCAAGAAGGGTCAACCTCTTCTTGATCCCATGGTACGTATAAAGAGGAGGATTGTGCAGTAATTTAAGGAGCATCTTCGTAGCCCCTACCATATGGATCATCGCTAGAAAGGAGGACAATTGACTTCCTTCATCCTCTCCCATAAATCTACAGGTTTTTAGGGATATACAATCTCTCTATATAACACATATCCCTTAACACATATAGTTTTTCGATTTTGCAAGTTTTTGCACACTCTCACGACGATAATAAACTATTTATGTGAAAATCTAATCTTTTTGTTTTTTTGTTATTCTGCTGTGCATATGATGTCGCCCCAGGTTTCCCAATATTTTTTGCCATAGATCACTTAAGCACTTATGGTTTACTCATATTTAAAATAACCCATATATTTTCAAAAACGTAGTATATAAGCCCCTCCCGTCAAGTCTGAGTTAATAGATATTAGAATTTTCTTATCTGGCATATTGACTCATAATAAACTATTAATATAATGACATATAATTTAAGTTTAAAAAAGGGTTTAGGTCCATCTTGTCGATAAAGAGGAAGCGGCAGAGGTCGTAGCTGAAGGTAGAGAGGTAGAGGTAGGAAAGGCCGGAGGTAGAGGTAAGGGAGAGTTGGACCACCACGTCGTAGGCACGGTGGGAGAGGGCACAAAAGAGGATGAAGTGGGAGGCGATGAGGATAAAGACGCCTAGGAGGAGAAGAAGAGATCAAGAGACCACTATATGCTTAGCATCAGAATAGTCGATGCACATTTACCTAAGGTAGGATCGAAAGCTCCTGAGCTCGTCGTCAACACGGGAGAGGCTACGTATATACAACGCCTTGCTAGGCAACAACAGCTCAGTACTTATATGCTACGTTCTTGAAAATATAACGATTATTTTAGACATGAGTAAACCATAAAGGCTTAAGTGGTTCATGATCAAAATCACAAAAGCTAAAATGGATCTTAACCCAAATTTTAACCAACAAACGGTATCGTTACCATCCCCAATCGCCCTCACTATTTTGTCTGAAGATTATTAGGGTTAGGGTTTTGCCGGCCCTCATTGTAACCCCGTTCTTTTCCTCAATTCGATCCATTAGGTTTCTACTTCTTCCGATATCATTAGGTTCTTGATTCCTCCGTGCTAATCTTTTTAATTTGGCATTTTGTTTGCCCAATTGATCAAAATCCGATTATTTTTGACATTTTTCCTCCCGATATTATCTCTTTTTTTGGATCGGAAAATATTTTGGTTCTTTGCGTTTTAGGTCTTCTTGCTTCAAAAGAATCTGCTTAGAATTTTGATCTGATCACATCAGACATCTTCTCTAATGGTTCTTGTTTCTAGATGGATTGGCAAGGCCAGAAGTTGGCCAATATTTTGATGCAGATCATTCTTGTAGTGTCCACGATCACTGCTTTCGGCATCGGATACTCCATCGGCTCTTTCCAAATGATGATGTTTACATACGCTGGTGGAGTTGTGCTCACTGCGCTGATCACTGTGCCCAATTGGCAATTCTTTAACCACCACCACCTCAAATGGTTGGATCCGAGCGAAGCAGAGCGTCACCCGATGCCACAGTTGAACGATGCTGCTGTTGCTGCTCCTAAGAAGAAGGCAACAAAGATCAAGTAGGAGCAGGTAATCTAGCACTGATGAGCATATTATCGGATATTTACCTTGTTGTGGTGATCAATATCCGATAATATGCTCATCAGTGGATATCGGCTTTACCAGCATATCTGCTGTCAAGAAACAGACGATCAAAGGTAGGAATGAATAGCCTAACACTGCTTAACACATGAAAAGAAAGACAGGACAAGATTAGCTCAATCCTTTAGAAGTTTCAGATATCGATTAATCATTGGCTAAATGTATATGAAATATCAAAATTGCCTTGAGACAACAGTGATGTGATCAATGACATGACTTCAGTTTCTAATGTTAGTATAATGGGAAGCAAGACTTTCTTGCAATTAATTGCATGTTAGTGAGAAGGATCAACCGCAAATTCTTATCTTTTTTGTGCTTGAATGAATGAATGAATTTAGCACATGATAATTTCTGAGTTAAAACAATTATTGAAAGGTATGGAGAAAAGATGAAAGAATTGCAT